ATGCCTGTCTTTGTGGTTGAGATGTGTTTCTTGCAAACAGCAGAATGTTGGATCCTGTTTTCGTATCCAATCCCTTAGCCTGTGCCTTTTTATAGGTGAATTGAGACCATTAATATTAAGTGATATTAGTGACCAGTGGTTGTTTACTCCGGTTATTCTTACTGTTTTCGGTAGTAGAGTTTGTGTGTGTCCCTTCTTTGAGTTGTACTGGTGAAGGTTCGCTAGATTCCTGAGTTATTGTAGTCAGTGTTGGCAATGTTGGATTCCTTGGGTTGCGATTTTCCTTCTATTACTTTCTGTAGCGCTGGATTTGTGGCTACGTATTGTTTAAATTTGTTCTTATCCTGGAATGTCTTGTTTTCTCCATTGATAGTGAATACTAGCTTGGCTGGGTATAGAAGTTTGGGTTTGCATCCATGGTCTCTTAGTTTTTGAAGAACCTCTATCCAGGACCTTCTGGCTTTCATGGTTTCCATAGAGAAGTCAGGTGTAAGTCTGATCGGTTTACCTTTATAAGTTACTTGGCCTTTTTCCTTTGCAGCTCTTAATATTCTTTCTTTAACCTGTATATTTTGTGTTTTGATTATTATATGGCGAGGGGATGCTTTTCTTTGATCCAGTCTGTTTGGTGTTCTGTATGCTTCTTGAATATTCAAAGGGATATCTTTCTTTATGTTGGGAAAGTTTTCTTCCATAATTTTGTTAAAAATATTTTCTGGGCCTTTGAGCTGTGATTCTTCTCCTTCTTCTATTCCTATTATTCTTAGGTTTGTCTTTTTATTGTGTCCCATATTTCTTGAATGTTTAGTGATGAGAATTTGTTGGCTTTGCTGTTTTCTTTGATCAGTGCATTTATTTTCTATATGGTGTCCTCAGAATCTGAGATTCTTTCTTCTATCTCTTGTATTCTATTGATTATGCTTGTTTCTGTAGCCTCTGCTCATTGGCCTACATTTTCCATATCCAGCTGTGTTCTCAATTAGTGTTTTCTTCCTTGTTTCTATTTCAGTTTTCAATTCTTGACCTGTTTCAATTACCTGTTTGTGGGTCTCCTGTACATATTTACTTAATTCTTCAAACTTTTTGTTATACTTCTCATCCATTTCTATAAGGGTGTTTTTTACATGTTTTTTTAAGGGACTCTATTGCTTTCATAAAGTCAATTTTTTCCACTTCTTATGTGTTAGGGTGTTCAAATCTTTCTGTTGTAAGATCTTTGGGATCTGGTGTTTTCATGTTGTTTTTCAGATTATTGGGTGATGTTCTGCCTTGGCGCCTGCCCATCTCCTCCTTTCAATGCTATCTAATTGGTCTTTTAAAATCGGATCGGGTTTCTCTGCTGGCCAGAGGCTTCTCTTACTAATTGCCCTCGCTCTGTTTCCTGGCTCCTGCCTGGGGCCAAGAACCCTTTAACCCATCAGAAGGTTTTTCCGGAACAGGACCCAGCTCCCCGTTTGCCAGGGCCCTTGCCAACCAAAGGCCTACCTCTTTGATTTAATTGTAGTGGGGCGATCTGCTCTCGGTGTTGCGCTGGTCCCTGCTGCCTGCATCCTCTGCCACCGCGCCAGTCCCCTCCGGTCCTGGCCTCAGACTGAGGTCTGGCCTGCGTTGCCCGCCTGCACCACTCCGCTCTGCCATCTGCGGGCGCCGGCGCCGCCGCTGGCCCATTTTCAAACAATCCAGAATGGTGTCCAGTGATATATTTCAAATATATAGTCTAACCCATTGGATGTAGTTCCATATGAAAAGGGTCAAAGTGTAATATAAACTCTTATTTAAGATCTTGACAATAAAATTAAAACATAAGTAATTTGGGCTATCAGAAGACGTTGAGAACTGATGATAAAACAAAATCAACAACAAAGACTTGTGTGGGGGGTTGATGTGCCACAGGCAAAGGTTTGACAGTGCAGGTATTGTTGAGAACCTAAAACCTGAGAAAGGATTGCAGGATATGAGGAACATGTCAAATAAGGTAGTACCTATGTGTATAAGTTGTGTGAATGCACTGTTTCATTCATGTTCATTGAGGCTTCTGTTCAGACAATGGCAGAGTTGTTCACTTTAACCAGCCTTGTCTTGCATACAACTGAAGTAATTGAAAAAAATCTTAAGTATATATTCAAAATTATATTATAGCTTACAGAATAAACATTTTCTAAGTATCCCCCAGAACATGATAAATCAGTAGACCTAAAATTATATCTATGCCTATGTGTGTGTGTGTGTGTGTGTGTGTTCATGGTCCCTGAAAAAGTTGTTCAGAGTTTGAAGAATTACTTTATTCAAAGAATTGAACAGTGAACAAAAGAACTTTGATGGTGGAATTTTGAAAGGTGATTAATCCTCAGGGCTCAGCCACTACATCAAGGTGGCATCACAGATAGAGTGAAAGATTCCATAAAATTAAGATTATCAGGAATCAGACTGGGTCTTCAAACTGAACACTGTTTCTACCTACCTTCATCATAAAATAAAAGCTAAAATCTGCTTGAGGTGGGAATTATGAGCCATCAATTCTTACTTGAGGATAAGCCACATGTATTTGTACTCATAGTTTTCTATATAACAATATTTTATATCTTTGGCTGTGAAAAATATATGTTTCTTAAATAACTGCTCTTTAAAAAAGCAACTTTACATCTCCTCCCTCCCCATATTCCTCAAGCTACCCAATGAAGGGAATTATATCACTCAGTAGAAAACACACTGATTAAATGGTATTAAATGAAAGAAGAAAATATTGACTATTTTTAATCTCAGAATCCACTACCATGAAATTTAAAATGAACCTAGAATTAACATTTGTTTAAGGTAATCCTGTTATCATATACTCCTAATAATTGTCAAATGAAAGTGCACCAATACACACACAAAAAAATCCAAAATTGCTCCTTGAAATTTATGTTTATATGTCATAAATGGCTTATTTTACCTGAGAAATTGGCCCGTGGGGATTTGAATTTATATTTGAATCCCCAGACTTTTCAGAGACGTATTCTCAATGGCAAATAATGATTGTGGGGACAGCTACGACACTATAAAAATATGATGTAATTATCTTCACTTTCTACTTTAGAATGAGTCCTTATTTCAAAAGGTGAGTGTCCTAACTTGTCTCTACCAGTGGAGAAGACTTTGCTCTTTGAAAATATGTACCTATTTAGAAGTTGTAGTCAAGAAAAAAGTCAGGTATAAATAAGAAAAAAATAACACGATTTATATTTTCGTAGTCAAATTCCTGTGAATAATCAGGTATAGAACTTAGTTTTCATAGCTTTCTTATTTATTCACATACTTAGAAGGCTTGAAGCCCATATGGTGTCTAATGGTGTGTAAGCTTAGCACCAAGAAAAAAATGCTAATAAGTTCAAAACTTTGACATAGCTTGGTGATTTTCTGACCAATGCTTCATGAAAAGGCAGACTTTGTTTACTGACTGACTACTCTAGCATCACAGGCTCTAGGCACCTTGGACAAACAGAAGAATATAAGGCTAAAAGTCTCAAGATAGGATAACCTGCTCCTAGTTGGGGAGCCTGGGTAAGCTTGATATTCCAGGTTGAATATTTATCCTTGTACTCTGTTGAGCATCACATTATTTCATTCAATTTTATTCCAGCTAGAAAACATCATTATGTTAGGAGAAGACTTGGTGAGTATATGAATAAGCTCATACTAATATTATTAGAAGTGGTATTCACATATTTGTCAATGATTAGGCTGATAGTGAAAAATAACCATAAGGCAATGCTTTGATAGGTAAGTAAATATTTAATTAATTTATAGCATGTCTTCCCATTTATAATATTAGTTCTTCCCAAATACTGTAAAATATTATATTTCTCACTATAAAAATTGGCCTTAATTTAGTCAGATAGTTGACAGACTTGATGACCTACAACGCTAAGCATGGACCTTCTATTAGAAAAGCTGACTTCTTGTCTCCAGCAAATTTCTCATTTTCTTGTCACTCATCAAACACAGTGTAGTAAGAGCAGACTGAATTCACACTGCCTGTAGTTCTTGTCTTCTTTCCAGTGTTTCCTAGCATTGTTAAGACTGACTTCACACTGCCTGTAGTTCAAGTTTTCTTTCCTGTGTTTCCTCTGCATTGTTAAGACTGACTTCACACTGCCTGTAGTTCATGTTTTCTTTCCAGTGCTCCCTAGCATTGTTAAGACTGAATTTATACTGCCTGTAGTTCATGTCTTCTTTCCATTGCTTCCTAGCATTAAGACTGACTTCACCCCGCCTGTACTTCATGTCTTCTTTCCAGTGTTTCCTCTGCATTGTTAACTTCCTTAACATTTCCAAATCACCCTTTTTATAAACCATGAAATTGAATCACTAAGATTTCTAGTATTATTTCATGGAAACAGCAGTAGAGCACTGTATAATATATTTAAAGTGATTTGGAAAGTATTCTTTTTTTTTTTTTTTTGGTTTTTTTGAGACAGGGTTTCTCTATGGTTTTGGAGCCTGTCCTGGAACTAGCTCTTGTAGACCAGGATGGTCTTGAACTCACAGAGATCCGCCTGCCTCTGCCTCCCAAGTGCTGGGATTAAAGGCGTGCATCACCATGGTTTGGCTTGGAAAGTATTCTTAAAGATCAGAAAATACTTAGGACTCCATTGCATAATTTTGTATTTGTACACCTTAGATCTTTCTTTTACATAGGACAATTCTCTATTATTTTCAGAAGTCTCACAACTTACAAATTTAGGAATAAACATAGTTAGGTATATTTTATTATACAAAAATATAAAGACACATTATTTGAAGAAATTTTCTAGCATTTTATTTTGAAATTTATTAAATAATCAATGCATATGAACATATAAACACTGGTAACCCAATGTAATACACTAAATATATGGTTTAAAGGATGCATTTATTTGTACTATATATGTGTTATTGAAAATATAGCTACATATTTACAAATCCTTTCTTGTAATGTCTCCCTCACAGCCTTGTTCTGGCAGCACCTACACTCTCCCATGGCTCTCTTGGAGGATGGGAATCACACTGCAGTGACAGAGTTCATTCTATTGGGCCTGACAGATGACCCAGTCCTTAAAGTCATCCTCTTCACCATCATCCTGTGCATCTACCTGGTGACCGTGTCTGGGAACCTCAGCACCATCCTTCTCATCAGAGTCTCTTCCCAGCTCCATCACCCCATGTATTTTTTTCTCAGTCACTTGGCTTCTGTTGACATAGGCATTTCATCTTCTGTCACACCCAATATGCTTGCCAATTTCTTGGTAAAGAGAAACACCATCTCCTACCTTGGATGTGCCATCCAACTTGGCTCAGCTGCTTTCTTTGGATCAACTGAGTCCTTCATTCTGGCTACCATGGCTTATGATCGTTTTGTGGCAATCTGTAGCCCACTGCTTTATTCAACCAAAATATCCACACAAATCTGTGTCCAGTTGCTTATAGGATCATATATTGGTGGTTTTCTTAATGCTTCTTTTTTTTTTTACCATTTCCTTCTTTTCTTTTATATTCTGTGGACCAAACAGAATCAATCATTTTTTCTGTGATTTTACTCCATTAGTTGAACTCTCCTGTTCTTATAACAGTGTCTTCATAATTCTTGATTCATTTTCTGCTGGCTCCATCATTATGATCACAGTGTTTGTCATAGCCATTTCCTACACCTACATCCTCATCACCATCCTGAAGATGCGCTCCACTGAGGGCCGCCAAAAAGCCTTCTCCACCTGCACCTCACACCTCACTGCAGTGATTGTATTCTATGGGACTGTCACATTCATCTATGTGATGCCCAAGTCCAGCTACTCCACAGACCAGAACAAAGTGTTATCTGTGTTCTACATGGTGGTGATCCCCATGTTGAACCCCCTCATCTACAGTCTCAGGAATAATGAGATTAAGGATGCTCTGAAGAGACAGCTAAGTAAGAAAACATTTTCCTAGAGATGTCTTTAACTTGTTATTTTGTCGCATGCTATGTAATAGTGATATGCCATAGTATTAAAAGGAAAGTGGGGGCTGGAGAGATAGCTCAGTTGTCAAAAGCACTAACTGTTCATCAAGAGGACCTGGGTTCAATTACCAGCACCCACATGGCAGCTCACAGCTACATATAACTCTAGTTCCCGGGGATCCTACACCCTAAAAAAAAAAAAAGAAAAAATGAAACTGGGTATTGATGATTGAAATGCATGATATGGCATATTACCAGACTTGAATTTTGGCAGTAAATGTACAGGGTGAGTGTTAATACATCAGAAAGTAAATGACATATTTTTAGTAAGTTATACATTTCATGCATAACCAAAAATACTTCCAAAAAATCAGATGTTCAAAATTATCGTTCACTTTTATTCATATTTTAAAGTAATTCTCTTCTATGGAGAAATTACTAACTGTATAATTTTTTAAGTCTGTGTCCATTTTCAATAACAGCTACCCTTAAGTAAGTGTGTATAATAACTATAGCTCGAACAAAGATATTTAGAGAGAAAATAACAAGGTAGAGCAGACAATAAAATTGTTTCAGGTGTTTTATTGCAGTAGAATCATTTATTTGAATAAAACTTTAACACTCATAGGCATTAGATATGTTCTCCAATCCTCTGATGCTAAAACTGACTGTTTATGAAAGGAGCATTCCATGTAGGGGATGAGATATTATTGACTATTATGCTGCCCTAGGAAACTTTTTTAAATTATGAGAGTGGAATCTAGAGCTTGTTAGAATCAATGTACTCTATCTGTAAACCATAGCCCCAGTTTCCCTGAGAATCTTTACTCTTCTCCATGTGATAATAACAAGTATATTTATTATTCCCTCCCAACTTGTTTCCTTACACTTAAGGACCCCGTCATTGAGTAAAGTCATTTCTGTAGGAAAAATAAAAATATGTTTTCTCCCTTTCTTTGTTGTTATACTTTGCCAGAAATTCTGTACATTTGAGACAAACATGGTCTACTACTGTTCATTGCCAGTGTCTCTACTTTAGGCTGATGTCTTTTATAATAAATAGTGCCAATAAGTTGGCTAATTTACTGCCTTGACTATGAGATGACACCCACATATTTGCTACAATACTGCTGTAAGTAAGATTTGGGTGGTGTGAGTAGGTGGTTAGTATCTACCACTAATCAAATAAAGCAGATTATCTCTCAATATAAACAGCTTTTTCTGATCAGCTCAAGGCTTTAAATATTAGAGTTTTTGAGAAGTTAGTCTTCTGCCTCCATCACAGCTTTGGAGTCTAAGCTATTGCAACAACTCCTGCCAGTATATTCTAGATGGTCATCTACCCTATGGATTTTAAATGACCAGTCATGCAATTTCATGAGAAAATTGCAGATACACACACACACACACACACACACACACACACACACACACACTTTCCATCTCCCTGTTTCTCCTTGTATATATGAATTTTATGAGGTAATACCATAAAAATCTGTTAGAAGAAATACTATGTGTGAGTGTGTCTGTGTATACATCTATATACATACACATATATGTGTGTGTATTTATGTATAGACTTGTTCCTCTGGGGAAGCATAACTGATACCACTGCTCACTAACTTTCATTTTCTATGCCTTGGATTCTAAATGAGTTTAGGTATATAACATCAACAACCATGAAGATAAATTAACTATATTATTTTGTAAGTGTCCAAATTTTTCAATGGGGTTATTTGTTGGTTATTTGCTTTCTTGTTTGTTGTATTTTTATTTCTTTATATATTCTAGCTATTACTCCTCTATCAGACGTATAGTTAATGAAGATTTTATTTTACTTTTTGGCATCCCTATTCACATAACTGTTGATGTCCTTTGCTGTGTAGAATCTTTTAAAGAACTACATTTTGGAAAGTCATTTCCTGTACCTATGGTTTGCAATGGACTATTCTTATTTTCTTCTAGAAGTTTCATAGTTTCAGGTTTCACATTGAGGCTTTTTTGTTCATTTGGAGTTTATCTTTTTGCATGGGTGATAGAAGTCTAATTTCATTCCTCTGCATGAGGATATCCATTTTTTCTGAGCACCATTCGTGACTTGTTTTCCCATAACCCTAAATGTTTCATTTGGGTGATTAAATGTCTTTTTGTTTCTCTGAGCTCAAATTTTCACATGTATATAGGAATTCCATAAATTTAAATAAATAAGAATCCTCAATGAATGAAAAATTTAATTCAGGAGAAAAAACACTTTCTCTGTCTGAAATCATTTATTTTGTTGGTTGTGGGTATGTTACTGGGCATGTAAACAGTCTCTACTAACAAAAAGGTCAATGTCACAGACATTTGCCATCCTTTAAGTCCTGCTCCTTGAAAAGGGAAATGATCAGATTTGTAGAACTCTCCAACACATGGAGACTGTTTTGACACATTTCTCTTAGTAAGTTCCTTCTATCCTAAATATGGAGGGCTCCACATCTGAACTGCCATGATGGAATGTATTAGGCTAAGTTTCTTTAAACGTAAGTGAGAGTTTGGATTAATAATTTTGGTGCTCATTATTTTTTTAAGTTTTGGGACTCATACGAAAGGAAAGCAGATAAACTGCTTGGGTTACTCAGAACCAGAGGGACAGCACAGAAGGAAGTCTCTTTAGTTTGATGTTTTCATTTACTGGAGATAATATATAGCTTCCTCCAGATTCCAAGACAGGCACAGACAAGAATCTGTAACCTGAGCTTCCTAATGAAGTCACAGTTAAACATTTGCTTTGGTCCAGTGGAAGCTTCTTGGACAATGCTTGCCATAATTCAAACAAACACAGCTGAAGAAGTATGACCCTCCAACCCATCCTCTTTCCGTGGCTCAACAGGGTGGACAGCTGTTTCATCCTCTCCTCCTTTCTACTCTCACTACCTGGGTCTACAATTATACTGGGAGAATGAGAACCCCCCACATCATCATGCAGCCTAGCGAGATGGTATGTTAGCTAAATTTTTTGGCAACTTGGAACCAGCTAGAGTTATCTGGTAAGAGGGGACAGCAGTTAAGAAAATGCTTCCATCAAAATGGCCTGTAGGCATTTTTATAAGGCAGTTCTTGCTTAATAACTGATGTGAAAAGGCCCAGCTTATTGCGGTCGATGCCACTCCTGGGCAGACGGTCATGTGCCTTTAAGAAGGCAGGCTGAGCAAGCATGCTGAGTAAATCTACTAAGCACTATTCAATCACTTTCTTGCTTCAGTTCAGCTCCCAGCTCCCAGGTACTTAAGTTCCTAACTCAGTGATTTACTGTGTCATGGAAGTGTAAGCCAAATAAACCCTTTTCTATACAAGTTGGTTTTTGGTCATTCTGTTACCACAGCAACTGTTGCTACAAAAAGAGAGAACAAAATTGGCGAAAAAAATGAAAACCAATGTCCTCTAATGTAGTGGACAAGTGGAGCAGTACAGTTAAGAACATTCAATTGAAAACTAAGAGAAAACAGAAGCCAACCCAGAAATGAACCTCCAGATAAAGCATTTGATGACAAAACTAAGAGTTAAAGAAGACATCACTTGTGGTCAGAGATGAATGGGAAAATTGGGAAGGGAGGGAGATCCTTATAGTTATATCTGACAGCATGAGCAATATTCATGCTGATGGTCATGGTCTGTGTCTGGACAGTATTTCCATTCCACTATTGTTGCGAGAGATCCTTCCGCCCCTCCAACCAATAGCTGCTGTGATACCAGCCCATTGGGGCGTGGTCTCTCTCCCTTTAAAAAAGCGGCTACTTCCTCTGCTCACTCTCTTCACTTCCTGCTCTGCCGGAGACTAGACTCCCTTCCTGGTTGTGCAGATGGCTGTTGTCTGGGACGGTGATCTGTAAGTTTTTTCCCCTTTAAATAAATAACACCCTATTAATCATAACTCCAAACTGGTGTGGCATTGTTCATGACTTACGCCTTCATTACGCCTTCACACTATACTGGTTGTGACATTATTGTATGTGTGGAGAGATGCAACCAAATACACATGAGATCTTTGTGGTATTATCTCCCACTATTGCATGTAAACTTCTCCCTAATTAAAAATGTAAAACTAAATTTAAAAATAAAGATGATTCCATGAAGAGGTATTTAAAATGCACTTTGTTTCCAGAAAGCTTTTGAGTTTGAGCTAAAATTATTTCCACTGTACTGTACCCTTCTTTGCTCCTGACATTTCCAAGATTGTTAGAAGGATGTTTATCAATCCATGAAGTTTTCACCTAAAAAGTGCATCAGCACACAAAGCTTAGTTGATAGGTGCTAGTAGATAACATGTATTTATATGAACATGTGTATCTGCAGTTTTCAGTCCTGATTGAGTTTCAGTGGAATTTTAAAATCAAGATAGCTACTCAAAAGGTCATTTCCCATAAGATACAATTTCTCATAAAATAAAACATAGCTTTTCTTTAAATTGGCAATTTTTTGTTTGTCCTTGAGGCATTGACACTGACAGGAAATGATTTCAGTTTCTGTTGATATCGGGAGTTTGTTTCTCATTTTCATATTAGAAATTATAAACACATTTAAAAGAGACATAAGTAAATAGTTCCACATTTGCTTGTTTCTATTATAAACTCATGGCATTATGGATACTGTCTTACTCAAGAATATCACCAGGTGCCATGTTTTAAAACAAAGCAACGGTGAGTGTTGTATAGTGTGCGCCATTTACCTAGGGTTCCACAAATTCTCGGTAACAAAGTCATAATCCTTATCCCTGTGTTGTGTGGATAAACCAGTCATGTCATTTCTGTATAATATGATGCATCCATGCCATGCAATGTTCACTTCAGCTTAGATACTGTTATATTCGTACATTTTCTATAAAGGATTAAATTTCACACCTCTGCCACACACGAAAAGTGTTACAATAGAGTTTAAACACATGAAAGCACACTGTATATAATGCTTGGTATTGCTCAGTAAATTCACATATACTATTATTAAGAAGTAG